GATTGGCATCCTCGAGACTAAGCTGAATGGCTCAGGCAGTACTTGCTACATCAACAGCGTGCTGCTGGCCCAAACCTGGAGCTGTGTCATGAATTTGACCTTCAATACCGCAATTTGGGGAGCATAAGAGAAGCAATTTTTGAGCATGTTTGTTGAGCATGCCGAGGTTGTTGTGGACCCATGTGCAGAGCAATTTCTAGGCCACTTGCTTATGGATTGGTTCAAGAACCATCCAAGTCGTGATCAGCATGATGCTGGTGAATTTGCTAGATGGTTTCGACAACGGTCCCACAATATATGCAGGCGGGCTGGAGCTCTCGGTTGCTTAGTTCGATTGAAGATCATGCGGATGCGTTTGCCCCTGTTCCCATGGCATGTCCAATTAAGGGTTTCATTATACTTCAATAAATGATCACCAACTGCATCATCAAGAGCCTTTTGTGTACGCCTTAACCTGTGATTCCCCTTAGATCTGCCTTCAGGTGTCTCGTTTTCCCTTCCTTGGACAGAAAACCCGACGTTCAGTTCTTTAGGATAGACGATTTTCAATAACCGCCGAGGCATCCATGTTGAGTGGCATGATTTTGTAATAACAGCGAGAATCATCCACCTGGATAACACTCCCACTAAAACCCATTATCGTAACATCCTTTGGCACAGTGGCACCGTCAAGTCTCCCTCATTTGGGTCATCCCCTTAAAATATACAAATCTGCAATAAAAACGTCCTTTGCCTATGAAGCCAAAGAATTTTAATAACTGCTCAGCGATAAATTCGCATAAGCAAGCCTTCGAACACTAATACCTAGACACTCGTAAAGTGTCCGGCCTTAGAATCCCTCCAATTACGACCCAACCAACACAGGTTCCCGACAAATAAAATATAAAAAAAAAATGAAATAAAAAATATAATTTATAAAATAAAAAAATATATTCCTATATATAAAATATATAATATAAAAATATAAATACATATTTAAATATTTTTCATTATTTTTTCAAATAAATAAATAAAACATAATATAATTTATATTCTATTTCCGAAATAATAAATCCTAAAATATTATATATATATATATAAAATCAAATATAAAATTTAATCGAAATATATTCTTCCAAAAATAATTAAAAATCATATTCATATAAAAATATCTTATATATTCTTAATTTTAATATATATAATTAATTAATTAAAACAAATACATGAAACACACATTAGCATCAAAACATTATATCATTTTCAACTAATTTCCAAATTTCAAACCATTCTTAAAATAAAAAATATATTATAAATCAGCCTTAAAAAAATCCCCTAAAATCTAATAATATTTATTAGCGCGAATCTAGCGCAATATTATCGTACGACTAACGGAATTTTCAACCAACCACTTTTCAAAAACCTAACGACATTCCAAACATATCCTAAAGCAAACACTAACGCAAATCTACCGCAAACCTAACGTCCAGCTTTCAAATAAATATGTTTAACTAAAGATCCGTTATATAATCTAATTGAAATAATAACATCATAAGCTACTTTCGACCCCTTTATCTATGTTTTAATATAATATATTTTAGCAAGAACCTAATCATTAAAATTTATAAATATTTATATGTTTAAAACTATTTCTGCAACATTTGTTTTGAATTCACGTTGCAATTTTTTCCTCTTGCCAGCCATTGGCCTGGCAATTCGAGCAAAATTCAGGTCTTTGAGTTGTGAGTTGTCCACAGAGCCTCCCAGTCCCAGAATACAACTTTCTGAAACAGTCTTGTTGGCAAATGTCCTCCACCTTCTGAATATTCAAGCCCTCAGAGCATTTTGCACAAAAAAGACATCAAAATGATTCAAAATGTGTTGGCTTGGACCAAGACCACGGGTGAGCACCACCTCAGGCAAAAATAAATCATGCAAAAAGATGCAAAATCCATGTGCGTCGCAAAGGCGCAGGCATCATTTTCACTTCGAAAGAAGGTGACACCTTCCTCCCTTGCCAAATCTGCTGCCTCAAGACTCAATACCAAGCCAAACATCAGACAGATCGGACATCTTCTGATTCACGACATCCCCAGTTGTGCACAGAGCTAAGATTCTCGCAATGAAGACCTAATTCGGGAGCTTGACTGTTTTTGCAATCCCATGATTCTCTGGACTGGTGGCCATCCAAGACACAATTGTGTCGAATTCTCCTCTTGCACCACTAATCACCTCAGAAAGTGATGTGTTCACATGGCCCATGTGAACTCTTTACTGAATGTGAAGGCATGTCTCAATGCTAAGCATTCAGCAGAGGTTCGATTCTCCTTCACCATGAAACCCAAGTCTACAATGGTACACAGGCAACTTGAGTTGAGGTCCATCAACGAGTCCATCTCTCATTCATCTGGAGATATTTTCTGAACGCCCCAGAACTCGGCTTCAAAACGCATCCCTCCTCGTCAACCAAGTCCTTCATTACAAGGTGGATATGGTTACGACCCATGGTCCTGGCATAGCCGTGGCACCACACAAGCCAGACGCTGCAACTTCCAGCAGATGCGTATCCGATGAACAACGGCAGGTGTGGTCATGTCCTGAGGCCTTCCTCTTTGATCCTCACCAAACCGGGGTAAACATCAACATACATCAACCAAATCACACATATCAAATAATATCACTATCCACTAAAAACGCAGGAAAGTGAAGTGAAATGAACATGAACATGACATCCTTTGAAGCTCCTGCGGTGCTTTTGTTGCAACAATAAACAACTGGGAACAGCAGTGAGCCGCAAACGCTGAGCCCCACCGTCCTCTCCCACTTCGACGCAAAGGTGCCGTGGCAAAGGACATTCAAATTCTGCCCACGTCGCACGGACATTCAAGTTCAGTCAGAGAGTGGAACGTCCGTGACACGTCGATGTTGCAAAAAAGCGTACACAAGAACAGTACACGGAAAGAAACCGTGGCTTTTCTTAGTGTTTCGATCCCTTTGGCAACGTTCATGACTATCGGGGGGGCGTAAATCCAACCCGTGTGGCGTGTTCCCGCCTCTGTGACGGGAATTTCCTCAAGGAGCTCGGTATCCTCCAATTTTCGTGGGGTGGAAACCACACAGCACAAGAAATCGCTGTTTCAATCTGGTTCTGTTTTTGAATAATTGAATGCTTTCTTGATCCAACGAAACCTTTATCAACATAACAAGCGTAGCACTCAGGGCACGCCTGTACAAAGTTGATGCTGTGTCCCTGATGTGCTCGAATGTATAGCTCCTGAGTGCGCGAAACTTGACAAACTTGCCCCTTGCCTGTGCGCCTGTGCTTTGCTGACTCTAAGATATGATCATCATCAAACTCGATCAGCCCGAATCTCTTCTTCTCGTTCTTTTCAACGAGACCTCGAATCTCCTGAACTCCAAGATGCTAACATGTGAAACATGTGAAACATGTGAAACAAAGACATGTGAAGAAAAGAAAATACATGAAAATACCACAACCATGCATCTGCCATCAGTGTGCAAAGCCCGCATGCGCTTGATTTAGCACACACGAAGCCACTCGCCTCCTCGCTCACGTTGTGGTTTTTGAAAAACTCCAGCTCTAAGACCTCCGAGCAAAGCACTCGGATGTGACACTCCAGTCAGCCAACAGCACTGAACGGTCCCAAGTGTTTCCCACGTGTTTAACTCACCCGGTCAAGTCGTGGCGTCTTCCCCATGTGGTTTTCCTTCAAAATCAGTGGGGAAAGGAATTCATGGAAGGCTTACAGAGTTGCACAAAGCCAAGTGATGAGGCCTTTTGAAAAAGTGGGGGCTCCTGTTGTACCTTTAGTCTAGACGTTATTCACTCCACTAGTAAAGCTTCTGCCTGACGAAGAGTATGGCTACCACATTGACTCCGGCTGGCTTACACCAAACTGATTTATTCAGCATCACGAGTGCAAAAAACAAATCAACAAGGAAACCCTGGTTCTTTACGGATTTGCCCCGCAAAACTCAGTTCATGCAAAAATCAAGGACTGAGACTGCGGCCTTGGAGACTGCAACGTATCCATCTCCCCGCACTTCCAAACCCAAAGACACCTGAGAGATCTTTGCAACGTGGGATATGAGCGCTCCTAGTAGCAAGAAAATACTAGGGTGGAGGCCATCGCTACTACGGTGGAGGCCATCGCTACTACGGTGGAGGCCATCGCTACTAGGGTGCTTGTAGGTTGGAGGCCATCACTACTGGGTTGGAGGCCATCGCTACTAGGGTGGAAACAACGATCTAGTCTCTTCGCGCTCTTGAGGAGTCATTCGATTCGTCTCTTGGCTTTCGGACCGCATTGTGCCGCAAAACACCACTGAGGTACTTGGAGATCATCACTTCGGGGTCCACGTCCTTCTTTTCCTCTTTCTTCTTGGGCTTGGCCTGACGCTATCGTGACGCCAAAGGTGGGATCTCTGACGTCATCAACTTCTGTGCCTTGGCAGAGCCACTTGGCCAAGTTGGCCAAGTGTTCCAAGCATTATTGGGCCAGCCATATCCAGACCAATCATGCAAGTGGTTCTGTCCCTTCCACTCTTGGCGCACATCTTTGTTGCCTCAATGTGGCGGCGAAAAACACCAGATCAACCCTTGTTGACGCTTAGCATGAGATCAGCTGGCGACGCTTTTGCCATTCAGGCTTGGCGGTGTCATACCACTTTCCCATGGCTAGCAATTCCGTTGGGCTCGGTTCTGCGTCTGAGACGGAGATTGGTCGAAAAGTTGGCTACAAGCCCAAAAATCGATATACTCGTGTGACACGCCCACCTGCATCGAGAGACACAACAAGATGCAAGGATGACAGGAATGCATGCTTTGGTATTGCCAAACAGAATGGGCAAGAACAGTATGTATAAAAAGAAATAGGAATCCGCAAACTCTGAAAAAGATTCTGGATATGTATTGACATGTACTGTTCGTATTACATCATTCCAGTCTCTCTTTTGTGTCAATGCCTAACCATGTCTGATCATTTGGAGGGAGTTTCATTCGTTTGACACCGAGTCATACTTTGCGGCTTGTGACAAAGAACCATTGCGGCAGTGACCAGTTTCACTGAAGCAACTGTTTCACTGCTTGAGTACTTACTTGTGTAAGCTTACAATGCGAGCTCATTCTTCTTCATCTCTCCATTCTTGTTGGTGTTAGTTTCTGCTGTGACAAATATGCTGTCCATTTCTTGCCGGGAAGTCAACACGCATGAAGCGACAGGCAAAAGAAGCGATGGAGTCGAAACAGGGCATTTTTCCAGCTCCAAACGATAGCAGCTGTGAAGCTGTCTACACCTGACAATTTGAGGGGCTCTGCGAGGAAACGCAAAATGATTCGGGCCCACGTACGCGTCAGAATTGTTGAGCCACAGGCAATACGGAGGATTTTGTCTCCATATCCAGCAGCAGCCTTGAAGCAATCCACCCAATAAAAAGACCCCTTTTGGACAACGGTCGCTGTTGTCATAAACACGGCCTTGTTGTCGTCAAAAAGCCGACACACTTCTTCAACATACCTCCAATGAATTGTCAACAGCTGTGATTTGCTTTCCTCTGGGAAGTGCGATATGATAGTCTTACCTGCAAACTTGCAAATCACTCCATATTGTTTGCGCCTTGTATGGTGCTGCTGTAAGTCCTCCTTCGTGTGCTCCGGCATCCTTTTTCAATCAGACATAAGTTTGTGATATAGGCTCAACTACGCACAAACCCACCTATATTGTTACAGTATCTATATATAGTATCTGTTTGTAAAAGTGCGAAGCAGGAAAGTCCGCAAGTTTGGGGGAGCAAAGACTTGCTCCAGCAAGTTGCCTTCCGCAATCCTAAGTTTCTACCTGGCCTGGGCATTGGCACGGGCTTGCCAACGACAATCCGGATCGGGTCATCAAACTTTTGGAAAGGCCTTTGCACAAATCAGCACTCCACATCAGCAAATGTTCTGATTGATGTTCCACATCAGCCTTTGTATAAAGGCAAAATGAGGCAGGAACAGTCCCCACGGTCCATAGGGCATGACCCAGGCAATGCCTACGGAAGCGGTTCCGCAGTGCAAGCAGTCCATGTGCAGTGCAGTCCGACGAAAGTCCACCACATCGTCCAAGTCCGATGCGGTTCGCCTAACGCTCGCTGCAACCAAGATCGAAGGCCAAAAAGGAACCTGCTCTGTTTGAACCTCAGCAAGTCATGTCAAATGGGTACCCATATTTACTCAAGACCTTCTCGTTTCAGTATCAGGTCCTGGCAGTTGAGCCTCGCCAAATACGTAAACCGGGACGATCCTGGCTTCCCACGGCCAGGATAGACTCATTGACTCATCACATCACAAGTATATCATGAAATGTTGCATCATTGCAAGCTATCGTCTTGGCTCTTCTCAGCAAAGTAAGACAGGCTCACGGCACTCCATATTGGAGGGCCAAGCGAATGAACCCCTGCGACAGCACTCGCGTTGCGTGACCGTGGTTCAACGAGGCGAGTTGGCATCGTGAAAATGGAAGGGGCCCACGGAAGGTTGGACAAAGCCGCTGATGCACAGCATGAAGGTCCGTGAACTACACAAAAAGAGATCAGTGTCAGGAGTTTGTTTCAAAACTTAAAATCCAGCTCGCTCTGGAATCACAAGCATGCAGCGACAGCATAAACATGCACGGGTGAACACAGGGAACACAGCGTTTGACCCACAACAGTTACGTATAAGATCACTATTCCTGTTCCTGATCCTGCCGTACACTTTATACTTTGTGAAAGGAAGGAACGCTGTTTCTTTTTTGATTTGGGCCTGCCGCTGCTTCAATACCAACTCCTCTACCTGGCCACGCCTGATACAGTAGCAAAAGCTTCATGAGTACTAGGATGTTGCAATTGCATGAGTAGAAACAAAGAACATGCATGAACAAACTCATTCAAGAGTGCAAGGCCATGAGACTAAGGAATTCTCCCTCTCGCTTTGCACATAATTGTTTTCGTTGTGAAAAAATAATCAAAAAAACATACCACACGTAAATCCTTAAATAACCTTCATTGTGGTATCTCATAATTCTAAAATGTAAAAGGATAAATATAAATCTATGCTTTATGTTGGAAAGCTGATTCTTCTGGCTCTAGGTCCCACACTGTGCTAAAAGCTGCTCCCGCTCTCCTCCAGGAACCACAGATAGGCTCAGCCTCGGGCTGCAAATCACATCAACAAGTTGTCCAAGCACGTCTTCACCAGACACGAGATGATCTGGAGTTCAAACATCTTTCAAAACGTGCTGAACAACTTGGGTCAAATAATCAGACATGATCGACATCACCATCATGCTGATTATCCATGCTGCGCAATGGCTGTTTCCATCAACAAGGCAGCCATCAAGCTGCCTTGTTGGTCAACTGGAAAATAATATAACGCCAAAGGAGACATCACATTGACATGGTCCTGCAACTCATACTGTGACCCCCGCCCTTTTGCCAGACATTTTTTGGCGATCTCTCTGTGAGCATCCACACCTCGTCACACTGAAGTGTGTGTGGCTGCAAAGAGTATCAACGAGTCACATACAAGCAGCATAAGTAACACCTTGAGATTCATCATGATTCATCCATAAATCGAAAGAACATGAGGATCCTGAGACTGTCGAATAGACTATCCAAGACTGAGATGAAAACAGCCCATGCCGAGCGCAATCTCTCGCACCACCGGCAGTTTGAACAGCACTCCAGCCTCGTCTTTGCACCGCTGAACGCGCGGAACGCGTGGAACGCGCGCGGAACGCGTGTTCGTCCCTTCGTTCTTCGTGGTCAATCCTCAGTGCGTGGCACTTAGAGCGCATCTCCGCCGCGCAGGAAGAGCTTTTTCCAGGTCGGGATGGAAACCCTGTCACGGTGAAAGCCGCCGCGATTTTTCCGAAACATCGCACCGAAACATCGCGGGCACCGAAATCACCAGGTAGTGCCCCAGGGAGAGAACGCCGTGTGGATGCACTGCAACCTGTGGATGCACTGCCAAAATGGATAGGACGAGTGTCAACAAGCATGCAGGAAGAGTCGCAAGAAAAAGCATTGAGATACTCTGTCCTGAACGCTTAGTACATGAACACGGCACAACATGCCGTTCATTGGTCAGCAAAATCCAATTCAACCGCGATTGGTATTGGTTTGACATGCCTTGGCAAAGCGACACACGTTTCTTGAGCATGTTTTGTTTGAGATATTTGTTGGTAAGGCGAGTACGATACATTGATCGCATTTGCGCAGCTCCTTTCGAGTGATTCTGAGACAAAGATGTGCAATGTTCCCTTCGTGCGTTAAACAAACCAATGCAAAAAATGAAACACCAGCATCCACAATGACCTCTACATCCACTTGGCAGTGAATGTCAAAGATCTTTGGCAAGACCTCAGTGGTTTTTGCGGCTTGAACTGTGGATCCCTTTCATACAGCCCAACAAGCAAGCACACAATTTTATCTTCCAGAAGTCCACAAAACACAAAGCGCAAAGCCACCCAGCTAGCAACCCATCAATTATCAACAGAAGGTCAATCAGCGGTTGGGCTGCTTTGCTTAACATGATGGATGCTCACATGACTAAACCAAGTTTACTTGAAGAACCTGTCAAAGGGCCAAAAGGGCCACAGTACTGATCTACTTTTCTCCCAATGACCTCTCTGAGGTCCCTGCAGCATTCCAAAAATACTGCGCCAAAGCCAACAGCTTCAAGCTGCGCCCTTTGATGCATAAGGCAGCTTAATTAGCGCGTGAAACGGTGAGGAACAATTGAAGGCGTTTCAGAATTCAAAACATATTCACACGACCACTCACACGCATGACGTTTGTGCCATTGCGAGTATGGTAAGAACGTCAGGATCGATCTTGGATCGATCTTGGATCTTTAAAATAGGTTCCCGACGGCTGTCTGGCTGCTTCTCATCTCCATTCATGAAGCTCAGCAAGTACCCCGCTAGAAAGCCTTCGAAGTCATCTGTACTCAGCCACTCTCCGCAGAACTCCAACACAATTGAAAGCACATGAGAGCAGTGCTGAGACCCTCTCTGCAGCTCAATCTAGCAAGCAAGCTTGTGGGCCACCGTATCCTGCAGGTGCTCGGGCAAAACCCGACTTCTTTCACGCTGAGCAGCTTGCGGTTTGTAAGCACAGAAGGCACCCTCCATGCTGCGTGCGCTGAGTCTGGTGCAGTTGCATCAGCGCAAGTGATATGGCACCCACAGCTGAGCTCGGCAGAAGTATGGATCGTGCCTCGGAAGGTGCGAGCAGCGGCCTGTATGGCTCGTTGAATGCTGCTGGAACCACACTTGAATCACAGCAAGTGGCAACGGTGGACCCTGAGGCAAAGGTATATGCATGCCATAGAGGTGATGTCGAATAGTGTCGATGAATGCATCCAGTTTTTTGACTTGCCATCATGCAAAGTGATGGTTGTCTGTCCCATCTTGTACTCAGCACACTGCCGGCATTTCGCCTGATGCAGGGTCTGTCGGTTGATTGTGTTCGTCTGTCTGAGAGTCAAGTTGAATATAGTAATTGCTATGAGAATTGCGCAAGTAAAAAGGACATCTTTCATCATCTTTCTCACTTTCATGCCCTCACATTTGACGATACACATTGTTTAATCTTGAGGACAGGATGTGACAAATCAGCAAGCGTGTGTGTGTGTGTGTGTGCGTGTGTCAATCACAAATCAATCCAACTTTCCCTTGATCTCGCGTCTACCCCCTGATGCAAAGCGAGGTTGTCTCTGCAAGTTTCATGCACTCCTGCGCAGTGACTTTCCCGGTGGGTTGTGCCTTCGTCCCCAGTCACAGTCCGAGCGACAAAGCCACCGCCATGAGAGGCGCTCGGAAAGGTCCAGCGAAGAGTTCCCCCCAAGGCCCCAGGCGAAAGAGATTAAAGGGTTGAGAATGTTGTTGCGTAAAAATATCGGCCCTCTCACGTCCTCTCATTGCACGTGCGGTGTGGCCAAATTTCGTCCGCCTCCAAGCAGTCCCGGTTTCTACCAAGGAACCTAGTGAAACACCATGAAATTGAGGCTCTCTCATGGTCTTTTGAAGAATGCTGAGGAACAACTAGCGAATCACGTGCTCGATTTGTGTGCAACTGTTGTCTCCAACTAGTGGAACTAGAAGTGGCCGCCGTCTGGGCCCGTGCAAACTGTGGAGGTTTTAGGACTGGGATGAAGGCGACATTGGTCGCTGGCAAAAAACTGACATGGAATGCCCTTTCTTCCATCTGAATGTGGGTTTTGGCACCTAGAACCCATCTTGCATTTTGCAGCCACATAGAATTTACACAACTCTGGCCAACGCTGTCCTGCACTTGGTTGGGAGCTCCACTGCTTCCACGTTTTGCAGATGACTTGGCATCAAATCCGAAGCATTGTATGGCGCACGCCCCTGACACCACCTTGCCATATTGACTGTTCCATCACCTGCCATCGCAAGTTGCCAGCAACAAGGTCGGTCCACAATGTGTCTGAGAAGTGGACCATGCTTGAGATTGTTCTGATAGGCGCCGACAAGTCTGACCCCTGTTGGCCATCAGTCTTAACAGTCTTAACACGGGAGAGCAAACAAGCGTATCTTTGACAAAGAAGGGACACATGGACCCCACATGCACACGGATTGATTGCCTGGCCCTGCATGAACTTAGCCGACTTGGCCCTGAACCCCTTGACCACGCAGTTGATTGTCTTCCCATTGGCCTGGATGGAGACAGCATGAACTCAAACAGTCTAACACTGTGAAATTTGATGTCCACATGATTCCACATGTGCAAAGTTCGGCCTTCATAATAGTGGCTGTTGCCTGGCCTTTCGAGCGGGTCGTCAACAGGAATCAGAACTTACAGTTCCCTTAAGGAACGGTCATCAAGATACGCAGGCCTTCCTGGGACCGTTCTGCTTCAAGCTTATTGGATTCAAGTTTCAATGCTTGCAAGCCGTCCCTTTCCAGTTTCGCTTCCTTTTTGTTCTCGTAGACGCATCTGCAGCGTCTCTGTTCCAATTTTCCACCTACAAAATCCTACAAGCCTAGGCCTGAAAGACCTAGGGGCCAACTAGGAAGGATTTGGGGCCTAGAACATCTTGGAGCCTAGCGTCTCTCTTTCACTCCTACAAACCCACTTCTGGGGCCAACTACGGCCTCAAGGACCTTGGTCAGGCAACGTCCGGGCTGTGGATGCCGGTCACGGTCAAGCCAAGCAGTCAAGCCTCGTGGCCTCTCCTGGCATCTCATCCTCCAATTGGTCCACCATCTCAAGGATCTTCAAAAGAACATCATGGTGCCAATGCTCATAGCTGCACAACTGCTTCATGCAATGTTCTTTTGGGTTAATGCAATGTTTGCAAATCCCTTGGCAAAACACCAATCGATTCCGGCGACCTTGATCCCTCAAAGGATATCGGTGCACACCGGGGCCAACGGGACTTGGTGCATATTTCCAGGACGGCTCGCCATGGTCTGCAAATACAACGATAGCACGCGCCTTGTGTGGCGGATCCTGTGATCGGTCGGATCGCTTTGGACGTCGAAGCTTCCTGCATCTCTTTGGCGGCGGCGCTGGCAGTGGCGGCAACGTACTGAAAGGCAGTCTTGGTGGCTCAGGGGGTGGTGGGGGCACTCCTTGGAGTCCGCCCAACGGACTGTCGATGATGCAGTTTTTGGCGGCATCCGGTGAATCCATGGCTGTCGAGCATGGACTTTCAACGGGAAAGCTGTGGAGTTTGAGGCCACATCCTGCTGGTGCTGAGAAAGCCCGCCGAAGGTGAGAGGCTTGGGCCACTTCGGGCACCTCGATGAAGGTGTTCTTCACCTGCCACGTGCCGTCGCTGAAGACCGCGGTCTGACCGGACTCAGGGCGGCCGATCCCGGGAACAGCTTCGTCAAATTCGACAGCTTCGACAACTCTCGTTCGAAAGGAAGCGGATGCGGATGCTGTGTGGAGGCTTTGCTGTTCCTCCAAATGATCTGCCATGGAAGGAGCGAAGGAGGCTGTGACAGCAGTCATGGTGGCCTAACCGTGGCTGCTGTCAGTGGCTCAACTGGGCCGATGAACCATTTCAGATCGGCTGGTCGATGGGATACCTCTCAAACTACGTGACTCAGGTGCGTGGTCCTTTTGAATGTTTACCATTGTTTACCGTGCTCCCTCTGATCTGAGTGGCTGCAGGCAAAACAGCATCTGCCAACTGACATCGGTATTTGCGTCAACATGAGGCCCACATTGGGGAAAAACCATAATAATACAATCTAAACCAAGTTACCAAATGAATATGTCTTTGGGATACAAGGTTGTGTGACTGCTTATGACTTTCCACCTACTACACCACAGAATGAGGAACTGAAGACTGTTCTTAGGCATGGCCATGGTCGCCATGGAATGTGATGGACAATCCTTGTCATCAACACAAGCTCACTGACATGTGCATTTGCCTGGCATGGCACGCAAAGCGAGCGACCGCCATCTGTGTGAAGTTCAGTCCTGCCACTTCAGTTGGTCCAATCAACTATATAATCACATCAAAAACGAGGCGGAATCACATGCTGGATCAGCTAAGGCTAAGGAACTGTCTTGGCCGCTTGAATGTTTCCCTTGATGTGGGTACAATGACACCAAACGCCAGGCATCAAGCTTGCGCACCTCATTGGAGGCAAACCTTGATCCGTATCTGATCTCTGGGCTCCATTTCTCTCTGAGATGTCCCCTGTTGGAATCAACACTCCGTGTTACTCAGTTCAAAGATGTTCACAAAAAGTTTGTCTCCTGTTCATGCATCAACAACGCGAACCGCTTGAAAAAAGAACAACTCTGCCAATCCATGCCATGGAAGACCTTCTCTCAGAAAGCCCGGCAGATTTAAAGCATTCATACATGAATCGATCGAACAATAAAGACCCCCACTGCGAGCCTCGAGGGATCTCGAAGCGAGCCCCAAAAGTGGCCTCAAACCGGCCATTTCATGCCAAGCGGCGTCCGCAACGCGACGGAACCGCCGACGGCGGCCACGGCGTTCACAGCACGAGACCGCAGTTGCGTGTGTTTCACGGCGAACCAGCGAACTACGACGGCTGCGTGTGGGGCACGGGACTGCGAGCCAGCGAACTCTTACAGATCAGAAATAGGATCTGCCATTCGCAGCGTGCAAGTCTTGCAGTATCTATATACAAAGGTGAACAAAAGAGGCCACCAAACAGGCACACGTCATACCTGCCACATCCTACCACATCCTTCGATTCCAGAAGTATGACTCCGTCAGATCGAGCAAGCGGACGACCTCCTCCACCTGAGCCTCCCGCAGGTGATCGAAACGACAATGAGCGCCGTAGGTACACCGGCCTTGGGGGCCCTTCACGGAGAAGGTGCAGACGTTTTGCAGCCAGACCATTCGTCCGATCTTGGTCTCGCGGGTCTGCACAATGCGTCGGCCACATCTTTGGTGTGTGTGCACCCCATGGACCCTTGCATCCACATTAGCTGGCGCATAGTCCCACATTGCTCCGCCAGTAGCGGGATTCCTGCTCAGGATCACAGCACCTTGTGGGTGTTCTGGTGCAGGGTAACCCAAGTTGAGTACATCAGAGCGCAGTGCGTCCAATGCATCCTTTCTATCCAGCATGTTTAGTAGCTCGAGAATCTGCTGGGGTGTGGAATGCATGAACTGGCACTTCTGGCCAGACCGGCAATACCCCCTCTGGTGGTACTTGCAAAGTTCCTTGCTGAGATAAACAAGTCGTTCATGCTGGCAAGGAAAGCGATGGTATCCATAGGCTATCGCCAGGTGTTTGGGACCAATAACGAACAGGAGCTGATCTCTGACATCAATGAGGACGACAGGCATCCACATTCCAATCACCGCACGGCCATGTGCAATGTCCAGGTCCTTGCGCTTGGAGAGGTCCAAGGGATCAAAGTCCAGATGGATCTTGTCGATCTCATCGGCAGTCCTTGTGTGCACCAGAACTTGCTCTTGAACAAATGCAGGTGTGGGATCTCGATCACATCGATCACATCGATCGCCCGGTGAGCGGGGGCTTTGGCTCGGAGAACGAGAAGGATTGCCCAGTGCCGGGGCTGAAAGGATTCGGTGCAAGGTGGGCTTCTCTTCAACAGGTTCAATGAAGGTGTTCTTCTGGGTCGTCGGTGGGGTGGGCGGCAAGACCGAGAGCATTGAGGGCATAGGCATAGTGCTTGCCGTCCCCTGGGAAGCAGCTGGACCAGTAGCGGATTCGTCCACAGCAACATCTCCACGAACTTCCGCAACGGTCTCCTGCTGCAGAGCTGTTTCACATGCGACTGGATCAGTCATGTGGTCCTCCACATGATCAGCCGACACCCAAGGAGTGCAGGATCGGTGGGACGCGCAGGGTGGTTCCGATCCCGCACGTTTCTGGGTGTCGCTGGGCCCACTTTCTTTGAACTCACAGAACTCCAAGGCGCAGTTCTTCACTCTGCAGTACACATCTTCTGGCAACACCAGAGCCGCCATGATGAGATCGAGGGAGACTGGGAGGCTGGGAGGCTTACACTGAATCCGCTGATGGCACTGCTGGCATTTTTGGAATGAACGTCAAGAAAGGGACATGCTGACATCTCACTCCACACAACATGGCAGAACTTGGCAAGTCTCAGGTTTGCGCCAAGAGACTGCGTGTAGCTTTGCCTCCCAGGCTGAAAACAGGCGACATGCATGTCAAATTGCATGCATGATGTATTGGCTCTCACCGTCACATCGTCACATGACGGCTCACTCTCGACGGCTCATTCGATCGATCATTCAACATGGTCAAAGCCTTGCCTGGTGGAATGTGACCATGCTTATTCTGCGTCCTTTCGGGCCTGGGATAGAAAGTGGGCTAGAAAACGGGCCTGCGAACCATAGCAAACCATACTTCCTCGGAAAATACTTGCTTACTTTCAGGTGAGAAGAACCATAAGCCCTCTCAGTCTGATGACGTCTCATGGCTTCCTCTCTCAAAACTCCGTGAGTTTCTCGAGATGCGGAAAAGGCTTTCGGTTGAGTTTCTCGAAGCGCAAGTTTCTCGAAGAATTCCCCAGGTTGGAACAATTGTTTGACGCTAATTCTGGCTTTACTTTCCACTTACACCATGTTGCAAGCGAAAAGCAGCTACAACAAACACGATAGACATTTAGGACGCGAGAAATTTATGCAGGACAAGTCGCAAGAGAACGCATTGGGCAATGACCTACTGAATGCCTACTTAGTTTGTCTGCCCATGAACACAGAACAACAAACCTACTGTACCTCTCATTGGCCAGACAAATCCAAACGTGAATGGTATTGATCTCACAGGTCTTGTCAAAAAGCATCAAAAAGCAACACACGTTTCTTGAACATGCTCTTTATCAGGCGAGTATGTTCGAGCACGATACATCGATCGCAATTGCGCAGCACGATACTTGGACCTAAGGTGCTTGGACCAACCAATGCGCGGTTCCCTTCCTTTCGACCAACCAATGCAAAAAATAGAACATTCAAGGATCCACACTGCCCTCTACATCCACTTAAGTGAATGTCAAAGAATAAAACATACTAAGTGGTTTTGGGACTCGACCACTCTTTGGATCTTTTTCATTTTTTGTTCACACCGCCCGATGTTATCCTCCACATAGTATCCACAAAGTAGAAATAGCGAAGCTGCCCAACTTGCTAGCAGCCTGGAAAGTATCAACAGTATCAACAATGATTGGAACGTGTTTGCAATTGCCTGCTTGGTCAGTGGGGCACAGTGGCCATTGCCGATTGCTAGTTCAATCAACTCTCGAGCTGGCTGCTTTGCTTAACTACCATGAAAGTGGTATGGCCCTCAATCTAGGACTACTGGCTGTGCTCACATTACTAAACAACATTTACTTGCAGAACCTTTCAAAGGACTACAATACTTTCAATAGTAATCCACGTTCCATTCTTCTCCCCTTTCCCATATCCCTTCATCCCTTGACTTCAGAATGGGCTTTCTGAGGTCCCTGCAGCATTCCATAAATACTGCGCCCAAGCCAACAGCTTCAAGCTGCGCCCTTTGATGCATAAAGCATCTTAATTAGCGCGTGAAACCATGAAGAACGATTGAAGGAATTTCAAAATTCAATATATATTCAATAATATATTCACACAACGACTCACACGCATGACGTTTGTGCCATGTGAAGATGTGAGTTGTGAGGACCTTTGAATCTTTGGCTTCCCGACGGCTGTCTGGCCACTTCTCATCTCCATTCATGAAGCTCAGACTTCGTATCCCGCTAGAAAGCCTTCGAAGTCATCTGTACTCAGCTACCGTCCACACAACTCCAACGCATCTGAAAACACATGAAAACACACAGGAAGTGCTGAGACTCTGTCTGCAACTCAATCTAGCGAGCAGGGCTGTCGGCCACCATATCCTGCAGGTGATGAAGCGCATCTCGGAATACTGAACTTTGTGGTTCCTAAACTGTTTGTTTCATTCCCAAAAAACTGAATAAACAACATTGGCATTGATATTGGACATGAGCAACACCCACAGGGACAAGGACATCACTCTCACTTTCATCTTTCAACGATCGGCATGACTTGAAAGGTCCACAACTGATGGGGGCGTTGGGTCCGCCACTGCATAGACACAGGTGCAACGCATAACGCAAATGCCCCCACAGCAAATCCATGTTCAATGAAACTCCCAACCCAATTCTTGCCCACGGCTTGAAAGAGATTGTGAGGTTTGGCGTTTGCAGGTTTGCGTATCTATGTTTCTATGTGCAACAACCCTGTGTTTTTGAATAGCTTAGTCAGTAATAGAAGCAGAAAAGGACTTTACATACTTTTACGGATGCGCGCTCTGCGCCTACGAAAACTGTGTTTTTTTGCACAGTTAAGTTGGCAACTTCGTGGCCCATGGGCTTGTACGGTAAGCAAGTTTGCAGTGTCCTGACTTGTGATCTTGATGTGTGTGTGTCACCCTTGGAGTCAGAGGGATCCGTCAGGATTAGTTCTTTTTCTTGTACTTTTACTTTACGGCAGGGGGACTGTCTACCCCACAGAAGTGACAGTCCAACGAAGAGGCTTCTGTGGCGGTACTGATATCACTGGAGACGTCCAGTGACGTACCTGCAGTTTTACTTGAGACATTTCATCCTGGGCCCTGCTTTTGACTAGAACAAGCACTCCAGCCTTTGCAACGGTTCTTCATCCGCAGACTCTGCACGTTCCGTCGTCCTTGTCGCTCGATCGCTTCGCGGTTACAACTTGGAACTTTGGAGCTTGAACCTTTTTCTTCGGTCTCCTTTCAAGGTTTCTTCGGTTTCCTTTCAAGGTTTCCCTACCTGTACCCTTAGGAAATGGAACCCTAGGCCGGCGTGTGGCACCGCTGTCAAATCAGTACGCATATCCATGAGTGTGTTTGGCTTCGTGCCAACCCGGGATGAGCCCGCAGAGTGCCTCCCGTGGACCCGTCGAACGGGTGTACGTCTTTCTCTCCCTTGCTTTGGAGAGGTAGGTGTCCGGAGCGGACAGCAGCTGGCTTACGCCACAAGAATTGGGATGTTTGTCTCATCTTTGGAATTCCAAGTTGGCTCATGCCTTTACGTGACCGCAGCGGTCCAAGCTGGCTTAACGCCTCAACGTGGTCAGAGCGACCGAAGTACTTTTGAGGTTCATTGGAACCTGTTGGAGCCTTAGTTTTTCAGTTGATCCTCCTTCTCTCGCCATGTTCCCTTCTCCAGCTGGCCTCAACCCCGTGGACGGCATCACGATGAGGGCCCAGACTATCCTACATTGTGAAATTCTTCATCTACATGGTTTGCTGATTCTTGCCATCTCCCTCCTACGCACCCGTTTCTCCATTCTCAACCCTTCGTTCATGGACTCCATCACCTCACCACACATTCAGCTACAAATTCGAGGTCTGGACTCTGCGATTCGACAGGCGACTCAGGCTATCCACAACGGAGTGCACTACGTCCACGAACTTCTTACCACCTTTGGGATGATGCACGCTCTGAACTGCGAAACCACTCAGGTTGATGCCGAATTACGTGGATGCTCGACTTTTCCTGACCCTCGTCTTCCTTCTTTTCCCACGATCCCTACCTCTCCTCAGGGCTCGGCCACGACACGGAGTATGCCATCTACCAGCTCCTTCCCGGGCGCATCTTCGATTCCTCCACCGAGAACCCCCTTCCACGCCGGCCGGTGATTAATCGATCCAGTACTGCTCCATCACGCTCCCGGTCTCACTCTCGTTCGAACCCTAGGAATCTCTAGGTTGTCTCTCGCTTATTCTTCCACCTTGAGCAAGAAAACGTCCTTCTTTCTTACTTCCAACAGGATCCATGCTACTTGACCCTTGATTTGCGTCATTGATTTCGCACTTTACACAATTGGTTTATTTGGCTCTCAGCTTTCCCACGATCCGCACCCCTCCATTCGGGCTCGCCTCCGTCCGTCCCTTTGCTGCCATGTCGATGCCACCCTCGACGACATCAACTCGATCTCTGGGATTGACTTCAACCGCTGGCCTACCCGCTGTTGCTCATGAGGTACTTCATCGTGAACTTCTTCGCCTATAACTCCTCTCTACACTTGATTCTTCTCATCCTACGTGGACCTTTCGACTCCGTCACTCCCTCCATCGTGGACACGATCACCTGCCCTCATCTCTGCGCCACTCTTCGCGCACTTGAGACCGGCCTTGAACAGATACGACGATCTACCTGTACTACTTTGGTCTATGCCAATGAACTATGCTCCGCTTTGGCCATTCCACATCCTACTGGGCAATCCGCTCCTACCACCTCTCCCACTCCCAGATCCTCTCTCATTTTCCTTCATTCTCCTCCTTCTCCACCTGGGACGACGACGAGGCCTACGACTACAGCTCCCATCTCCACTATATCCCTCCAACCTCTCCTCCCACCCTCACCTTTTCGGACTCGCCTACGACCTTGCCGAGGATGCCGAGATCACATTCTCCCTCTCGTTCACGCTCCCCTCCGCGACGATTTAGGCTATAGCTGATTTCTCACTTACCGAACCACTTACGTATGCGGGAAAAGCCCTCGTCGTACACCTTTTGTTGTTTTGTTTTCTGTCTTTCGTGATCCTGTCAATTGATTCTATCACAGGAGTTGATATTCTCTGCCTTCACATCCTTTTCTTTTACCGTGCGTTATCTTCGGCTTTCCAGCGATCGCTTGTCTCGCCCCTTCATTTCTTTCTTCATCTCCGTTTGCCATGGCTTCGACATCTACACCACTTTGCGGCCTTGCACCGATTCATGGTCTTCCACCTCGTGCTCAAGGAATGCTATATCGAGAACTTCTACTCGTACATGTTCTCTTGGCCCAGGTCCACGCACTGCTCCAGATCCCGCTTAGCATTCGAACGATTCCATTTATGTCTCGGGTGACCAACCCACAACTTCGAGCTCACCTTGAAGGCTTGGACAATACCCTTCTTCTTGCCCTACGTCTCAATCACACTGCCGTCCACTACACCCATGAGCTCCTTACCGCCCTCGGCCTCCTTCATATCATTCGACAGAGCCCGGAACAACTTGAAGATGAACTAGAAGGTCGCACAGATTTCAGCGATCGCGCTCCATCTCGATCGACTACGACTTCCTTGCACACTACCAGGACACGTACCACGGCTGCCCGGATGCCTCTTTCTCCTAGTCCTACGCCTTCTCGTCACGTCCCACGACCTCGTCTTCATATTCGCTCGCGATCCCGTTCCCGTTCTCGGATGCCTAGATCTTAGCCTTCCGGTTTCACCTCACAACTTGACAGGCCGCATCAAAAAGACATGGAAAAGACACTGATCTCATGTGCTCCTGTTTGTGTCCACCTCCTTTATTGACCTTCCTGATCCGATGTCGTACATTCTCCTTCTTGGCTCTAGACTGTGTGACCAACATCTTTCCACATTACAGTTTTCTTCTTCGCAATCACGATTTGAGGTTTTTTCCCTTTTGCTTCTACCTCCGGGCGTTTCGACCTCATGGCGAGTTCATCATTGGAATCTACTCGTCCTCATTCACGACGTGATCTTCGCCGCAGTTCTCGCTCCCGAGATACCAGGCTTCATCATGACGACGCCGACTATGGCGAGGAAGAGAGCACTCCTTTAAAAGAATTTTGCTTTGAATCGGGGTTCCATTATCAATCGGGGTCTC